GCAATTTTGTCCATAGCTTGTCATGATCCACACAATTGAAAGCTTTTGCATAGTCAATAAAGCACAGGTAAACATCTTCCTGATATTCTCTGCCTTCAGCCAAGACCCATCAGACATCGGCAATGATATTCCTCGTTCCACAGCGTCTTCTTAATCACATTTGAACCTCTGGAAGTTCTCTGTCAATGTATGATTGCACCCATTTCTGTATTACCTTTAGCAAAACCTTACTAGCATGGGATTTCAAAGAGATTGCCTGATAATTTCCGCATTCCTTTGGGTCACCTCTCTTTGGAATGGGTACAAATATGGATCTCTTCCAATCAGTCAGCCAGATAGTTGTCTTCCAAATTTCTTGGCAGAGATGAATGAATGCCTCCTGTGCTGCCTCACTTTCTTGAAAGATTTCAATTTTTATTCCATCAATTTCTGGTGCCTTGTTCTTAGCCAATTCCTTCAATGCACCTAGGATTTCTTCCTTCATTGTCATTGGCTCTTGCTCATATGCTACCTCTTGAAACAGTTGAACATCAATCATTTCCTTTTGGAACAGTGACTCTGTGTATTCCTTCTATCTTCTTTTTAAGCTTTCTGCATCATTCAGTAATTTGCCCAAAGAATCCTTCAATAATGAAAGTTGAGGCTTTAATTTTTTCTTCAGTTCTCCCAGCTTGAGAAATGCTGAGCGTGTTCTTCCCTTTTGTTTTTCTGACTCCAGATCTTTGCACATTTCGTTGTAATATTTGACTTTGTCCTCTCAAGGTGATCTTTGAAACTTTCTGTTCAGCTCTTGTACCTCCTCATTTCTTTCATTTGCTTTAGCATCTCTACACTGGAAAGCAAGTTTCAGTATCTCTTCTGACATCCATTTTGATCTTTTCCTTCTTTACTTACATTAATCAAGAATGAATAATAGTTTGAGAATATTATTCAAATTTTCACACCAGTAACTAAAATCAGTGATGACAAAATGGAAGAATTTTCCAACTTCTTCAGTGTGAAATTTATCAAATATGTAAGGTGTATTGATAATTACTGATGATTGGAATGTGAAGGCAGGAAACCAGTAGGAAGGATCAGTAGGTGGAAAATATGGTCTTGGTGATAGAAACTATACTGGAGATCACATGATAGAATTTTGCAATACTAGTGGGTTATTCATTGCCAATACTGTTTTTGTTTTTTTTTTCAATTGAGTTTTATAATGTCTTCTTAACTTGGAGTCCTGGTGAGGTGTTGCAAGATAAGCACTGGCCTGCTAACCGCAAGGTCCGTGGTTAAACTCAATCAGGTACTATTCAGAAACCCTGTCTATACAGGGTTTTGCTATGAGTAGGAACCGACTTGATGGCACTTAACAACATTCTTAACTTTAAAAGAAGCTGAATTAATTGTTTCTGATAGTCAATGGCCCTGAATAAAAAAGAAGTTACCCATCCCTGACTTAAGAAATTTCATAAAATAAAATGATTCCCTAACATTTTCACTGTGCTATGCTCAAAGTAACAGGAACTCTGATGGCACCGTGGTTAAGCACTCAGCTGCTAACTGAAAGGTTGGTAATTTGAACCCACCACCTGCTCCACAGGAGAAAGATGTGACTGTCTGCTTCTGTAAAGATTTACATCCTTAGAAACCCTATGGGGCAGGCCTACTCTATTCTATAGGATTGCTATGCATCAGAATTGACAGCAATGGGTTGGGTTTGGTTTTCACTTATGTATCTATTGTTGCCCAACCTACTCTTGGGTAAGTAACTGTTTTAGATAACAAAGTTTGCCAGATAACAAACTCTGTCCTAATTTAAACCTAATAATAACGGGTGAGTGAGGATGTGTTCCTTTTTTTAACGAAACACATCACTCTTGTATTCATAATCAGTGCATGCTGAACATAATTGAGTTTTCTTGGTGACTCAGAGTCATGAATGTGGACATCAGTGACATGCCCTTCAGTCATGATCTTAGAAGAGTCACAGCCTTAAATTCTTGCCTCGGCTTTTCATGATTATTCTGTGTCCTCCCTTACTGTTGGCTGTCAAACAGTAACAACAAAAACGGCAACCCTAATGATGCTCCAAGCATTGTGCTAAGCATTTTATGTGCATGAACTCACTGAATTTTCACACCATAGGTCCTATTCATATCTTCATTTTGTGAACCAGGAAACTGAGGATCAGGGAGGTAAGGGCCTTGGCTGGGGTCACATAGTAGTAGTGATGAACCCAGCTGGTCTAATTCCAAAGCTGGTGCTCCTAATTACAATATATCACTTCTGTGACTCTGCCTACAGAAGCCCCTCTCCCCACTTATAATTCGCTATTTCAAATCCGCCACCAGAAAAAACAACAAGACAGTTAAGCTTATTAGAAGTCTGTATAAAGTAAGGGTAAGCATGAGATGGGATGACAAGTTTGGGGAGTATGCCTACAGGGCACAGAGCGTGGTTTTGTTGTGATGGAATGTTCTAATACTTACTGTGGTGATGGCTGCACAAGTCTGTAGATGAAACAACAGCCACTGAACTAGACACCAGTGAATTACATGGTATATAAACTATAGCTCAATAAAACTAGTTTCTTAAGAAAGAATAAACAAGGGAGTCCAAGGAGCCTAATGTACATTTTGGTTGCTCCAAACTTTTTCTTGTCATCAATGCCAGCTAAGTCCTATTTATATACATTTGTAGAGTTGGGTGAACACTGGCTAGGTGAGATTCAAAGTTAAAATAACAATAAGATAGCATCTGGGCACTCCCAGGGTTTTCCTATTTCCTTGTCTTTGCCACCTAATTTTGATTCTTAGATTCAGTCTTGGCCATACATAGTCCACACCTCCCTCTTACTTTGACCCCACCCTGGAATCCCAGTGGAGACTCGTCCACCGACCTCCTGATGTTGTCTGGCCTGTAGAGAGAATGCTTCTCTGAACAACTTTTAGCACTGACCCCTGGAGCCGGTCTCTGATCTTGGAAAGGCTCTGTCTGAGCCTAGTGTAGCTCTTAAAGCTGCTGTGATCCTAGACAATGCACCAAGATTTTAGGTGCTTATTTTCCTTCCTCACAGCCCAAGGGTTTCATTCTTTTTGTAAAAATCTGTTTGATTCCCATGGGCCTAGCTTGTGCCTTAACATCAGATTTAAAGTATTTTCAAAGAAAAAGAAAATTACTGCAAAGTAAAGCCTTCTCCACTTGCCAGGAATATTCAGGCTTAGAGGAGTCAGGCAAGGGAAGGTTTTTGCCAAACTGGAAGCTCCATCTCATGTTAGTTTGACACCCAAATCTACAGACTCTGAGCACAGGCTGCCCTGCTTTCAGGCCCACCAGCCCCTTTCATGTAGCATCTGTGGTAACTGCTCACCAACAGCAGCTAAGTCCTGGGCTGGACTCTGCAGGCACACAGAGACCTAGACACAGTCCTCAAAGGGCTTACAGTCAGAAGGATTGCTGGATACAAACCAAGACCACTACAATCTAGTAAGGAGGTATGAAACAGGGAACATCATTTGGATTAAGAGTGAGAGAGTTTCCGTTTGCTGTTAATACTGATAGATACTGATAAGACTCTTCTTGCAGATGTCAGGTCCAATGTCACTCTCTAATGGAAAATGACTTCCGAGACCTATTGTTCCTGGCAATAAAAAAATACCAGGACTCCTCTGTTCTCATTAAAAGGGGCTACAATGCTCAATTCACAGCACACAGAAGGTTCTACAGACCATTCAGTCCATAAAATCAGCCCTTCTACTAAGTTGGTGTAGTGTGGACAAGGGTCTTCATGGACAGGCATGTTCCTCTGTCCTCTCCAGGGAAGACTGTGCTGCTGGGCCTGCCCACACCTCCAGCTTTAAATCATGGCAGCTTTCTCTTGAGGTTCTCTGCCCCAGATGACTCTGTGTCTGTAAGACTCTCACCCAACTCTTCACATCTTCAGCTAAAATGTCACATCCTGCGAGAGACCATCTCTAACTCCCCAACTGAGGATGCTCCCACCCCCTCATTTTTTTCTCTCTCCCCACCTCCTTAATAATCTTCTTCATACCACTTGTGCTGGGCCTGTTTGCCCACCGGTCCATTCCTCCCTTGTGTTTCCTAGGTGCAGGTCAGCTAACTGACTTCTGACTGGTTTGGGCCAATGGGAGGTACTAGAATACACAGGAAGAGTAAAGCCGGGGTATCCTCCACCTCCATCTCTGCCTTGAGAAGCATCCTTCAAATGCTGTCTCTCTCCCGTAGCCCCAATGCCAATCAGGCAGCCCCACCACCAGTCTGCTTCCCTAGGGTGGCACCACTCTGGGCTCCACCAACTCCACCTCTCACAATCGTCTCTCTAGCCCAGGTGTGGAAGCTGCTTCCTACTGGGTCCAATCTCTGGGTTGCCTCTCTCCCCTGTTTGACTTCTTAGTTCTCCACCATCTGTGTAACCAGTTCCTCACATTAAAATCCTGTTTTCAGTACTCAAGCGGTTCTGGATTTCTGGTTAGAATTTGTCATTTAATTAATTTATCCAATTACTTAATTATTGTCTAGTTCACTGTAAGCTCCACAGGCAGGAACTATATCTGTCTTGTTCACAGTTGCATACCCAGTGCCTAGCACAGACACTGGCAGGCAGTAAGCTAAGGAAAATACTTATCCCATGATGAATGAAAAAAGTAACATTGGTATGTCCCAAGAAATGCCCACATTTCCAAAAAGGAAACTGAAATGTGCTTTAAAAATGGTATTTATTTGTGCACATGATCTATTATGAAAGTAGCAATAGAGAGAAGGTGGTTTTTGAGCTTTTCAATCAGAGGCACAGAGATCGCCTTCAAGAAAGAAGTGGTGAATTAAATGGTCTTGGTTAAGATAGAAACACAGATCTGAGAGCCTGCTCAGCATCCTCCACTCCCAGGGACAGGCCAGTTCCTATGAGGCACCTCCTTTCAGGGCAGGCACCCATAGCTGGCCTGGGTTTGTATAACTTTGTGCCCCCAAAAAGCTGAGTCATGGGAACAAACCTTTTGGCGGTCTCAATAGACTTCTGCTCTGCGAGCTCCTTCTGCAGCTCTCTTTCTTTGGCTTCTTTCTGCCCAATGGGGCAGTCCTCAGGGACAGTGAAGAGCGACAGGGCATCTTTGCTGTCCTCTTCTCGGAGCACTTTAGCAAATACCCTCTCCGCCAAGAGCCGGACTTGCTCGTCCACTTCAGAGATGTTCAGCTTGGGGAATTGGCGCGGCATCTCAGCTAGCAAAGAGAGAGCAGGCATTAACTTAAAGCGCTGATGGGATGACCTGAGTCACCAGTACTGGGAGGAGAAGAGCTGGCTTCCCTAGCAACACCCCCTCCCCACCCCCTCGTCCCTGGGGGTCAGCTGCCAGGTCAGAAATTTCCCAGACCAAACTCAGCATGCCAGTTTCAATATTTGCTCAATAAGCATGAGATGTGAAGCATGTAGAGCCACTGACATGTCACCAGAAAGCAAATGCCCAGAAGTCTGAGGGAGCTGTCCAATTAAGTATGCTTCCATTCCCCAAATGCAAGAAATCTGCAGCAAGCAAGCAGCCCACAAGGTCGACGTTTGAAACCCACCAGCTGCTCCCAGAGAAAGATGAGGCTGTCTGCCCTGGTAAAGATTTAGAGCCTCAGAAACTCTCATTATGAGTCAGAACTGACTCAATGACAGTGGGAAGGTCCCACAAGATTACAGAGCCATGGAGAATCCAATTTGTTACAAAAATAATGTCAGTCACTGAAAAGACGGAATCTGCACTCATAGTACCACAAGACACAACAAATAAAATAAGGAACAGGGAATACCCTTCATCTTCCACAGTCTGGCAGAAAATACACTTCCACAAAGAGCCTCTCCCTTACCCACCTCACTGCATCCTCGCTCCTTACTCTCAGTGGTGCTGGTGGTGGTGTGCTGTGGAGTCGGTTCTGATTCACAGAGACCCTGTATAGGGCTTCTAAGCCTCATCTTTCTACCAAAGAGCGGCTGGTAAATTTGAACTGCTGACCTTCAGGTTAACAGCCCAACTTGTAATCTTCGATCCTACCCAAGATCCTTTTACTCTCAGGAATAGACCTAAATCACTTGATTTCCTTTTTCTTCCTTCCTTTCTCCCTTTCTTTCTTTCCTTTTTTGACACTTACATAGTATTTATTATGTACACTCTTTGTTGTTGAGTGCTGTCAAGTCAGTTCTGACCCATAGCAACCCTGTATAGGGTTTCCAAGGAGCAGCTGTTGAGCTTGAACCACCGATCTTGCAGTTCAAACCGACTTTGCAGCCTAGCACATTAACCCACAGCACCACACCAGGATTCCATGTACACACTACCAAGTGCTTTATACATATTAATTCAGTTAGCTCTATTAATCCCATTTTACAGATAAGAATATGGATGCAGAGAGAGCCAACTTGCTCTTTTAATGAGTAAGCAGAGCTCTGAGCTGGTCTCAGCCTTTCTCTTCCTGTCCCCATTCCCTCCTCTGGGACTGAACCCAAGCACCTGGTTCCCAGGTCTGTACTCCCCATGGCTACGCTGCTCCGCTTCTGTCTGTTTAGGTGCAAGTACATAGTCTCCCCTCTGTCCTCAGTGTGACCCTTGTGAACGGATAAAAGCTGCACGTGTTCAACAAGCCACCTTCAACAAGACTGGGCTTGGATGAGAAGTTTCCTGTCTACCTACCATCTATCCACCACAGCTTCTTTAAGGTCGGTTTAAAGACAGAAGTGGTTTCGCTGGCCAGACAGACAGAAGACAAAGGTGACACAAAGCCCTCTTGCTCTCTGGCAGAGGAGAAGAAGCCACCACAGGGAGGGACTCCTAGAACAATCTTGGGACAGTCATTCTCTGGGTTTCAAAATGTTCTCATCTGTGAGATAAAAGGATTGGACAAAGTGGTCTCTAAGGTCCTCTCCGTTCTAACCGCCATAATTCTAGGTGCCAAAGGGGTTTCCGGTGCCTGGGGAGACTGCTGTTCTGGTCTCCTTTGTTGCATGTGGGTCTAATTCATGACACAGGAAGGAGGAAACAGGCTAGTAATGGTAGTCAAAGTTTGAGCTGTGGTCCCTTCACTGTGAAACCAGTTTCCTCCTTCCCTCCACACAGGGATATATGGCTGTCCTGGGCCTTGCTCACACGAGTGGGAGGGAGCAGTGAGGAAACAGGCCTCTCAGTAAGCAACTATAAAGGTCTATGGCTGCAGGCACCAAGCCAGCAAAAGCCTGGCCCCAGAAAGAGCCTGGAGGAGTAGAGTGACTGATAGCAGAGAGAAGGGGAAGCTGGAAGCCACTGAGCACAGGCTAGGAGAAGAAGGTGACAGAGAACAGCACAAAGAACTAGAAACACAGGAAGTACTGTCGAGTCAAAACAAAGCTGGACCCCAGCCCCCCAACTCTAAGCCCATGGGTTAAGAGCATCATTCTAAAAACTCACATCACATCAGAAGTAGATACCAAAAGGCAGAAAATGCCATAAAGATCCACACCATTTGATCAAGTCTCCTAACTTCCAAAAATGTTTTTTAAGAAAAGAATCCAACGGGAGAAAAGCACAGAGATGTTTATTCAAGCTCTTTATAGCTTTAAAGTGTCCAAAATAGAGCATACTCATTTGAGAAGAAAAAAAAAAGCAACCAAAATTATAATTCCAAGGGCAATGCAATTACATAGAAAACATTTTATGAAATAACAGTACAAGAAAAAAATATATATTATACAAAACTGAATCCATTATTTGATTGCAAGTGCTACCAATGCATCAAAAATGCATCTGTTTATGGACAAGGGCTGCAAGAGACGCACACAAAGCGGACAGATGGTAGGACTGTCTGTGTGTGAGGAGGTGTCTTATTTTCATAATTAACACTATTACAGTATCATTTTTTATAAACGCAAAGGAGATTAAAAATGAACAGGTTAAGACTTGATAGAAAGAGAAGACAGAAAACAAATTGAACTGCTTATCCTAGCAGTTTTGGGCAGTTCCTCCCCTCTCCCATTTACCCCACACCACAGAGAAGCCATCCCAGCGGAATTACACCACTTAGGCCCATCTCTACATTTGCTCCCATCCTGCATTGTTGTTAAGTACCATCGAGTCACTTCCAACTCATAGCAACCCTGTAGACGGTTTCTGAGGAGCAGTTGGTGGGTTTGAACTGCTGATCCTGTGGTTGGCAGTCCAGTGCTGATCCTACAACGTCACACCAGGAGTCCTGGATAGAAGCCGATTAGCTCACTGCCACTCATTCTACTCCACAAACACAGGCCTGACCAGATGCACCTCACCAAGTTCCCCTCAGAAATGGGCATTGAGGGGATCCTTTATGTCTAAGGGAGTCCTGGGTGGTACACGTGGTTAACAAGTCCAGTGATTAACCAAAAGTTCAAGGTTCAAGTTCATTCAGAGGCAGCGCAGAAGGAAATCCTGGCGATCTACTTTCAAAAACTCAGCCAATGAAAACCCTACGAGTACACTCTGACACAAAAGGATGGGGGGCACCATGAGTCAGAGTTGACTTGACAGCAACTGGTTTGGGGTTTTTATCATTATTATTATTATTATTTCTGTGGGTTGTTATGCCAAATTCTGCCATGGTTCTGCCATGAAACATTTTTCGTTTGCTCAAGTCAACTAAACATACTTTTCAAAGTGTATCTTTCATATACTTCATAGCTTAAATCAGCCTTTCCCAAACTGGCCCCAGATTAAAAACCCAAACCCATTGTTGCTGAGTCAATTCCAATTCTTAGTGACCCTATAGGGCAGAGTAGAACTGCCCTAGAGGCTTTCCAAGGCTGTAATCCTTTACGGGACCACACTGCCACACCTTTCTCCAGTGGAGTTCAAACCGCCAACTTTCCAGTCAGCAGTTAAGCACTTTACCACTGTGCTACCAGGGCTCTCTAATCAGGTGCCAGGACAAGTCAATACCTGTTTCCAGGAAAACAGATCCTGTGGTCAATTCACTGGGGAGATACTACATTCCACAGCTCCTAACTCTTGAGATCCGCTGCCGAGCACTAACTCCAAGATCCACCAAAACACAGTAGCTCATTAAAGACTCGAAAATCATAGGAAAGCATTCCCCACTTTTTTCACACAACCTATATGAATCTCCTAGTATCTGTTTCTTCAATAACCAGTGGAGAATCCATTCCATACGTTAGTATGGATCAAGTAACCCCACTTAGGTTGCTGAGCAAAGTAGGCCTCGTGAACCCACTGCACATCTGCTGCCTTCGGGACATCCTTGGCAACAGCTCCCACTCCTCAGTCCTTCCCATTCAGAACTTGTTTCCTCTCTCACACCTACAGACACCAGCAAGGCTGGGAGTGCTGAGGAAAGTTCACTCAACAAGCACTCAGCAGAGCTTCAACTCCAGCCGCCTGTTCATGTCTGGCTTGCCACTGTTTGTCAGTTGAGCCAGGAGGCTTAACTGTGAATTCACTGACATTGGTCAACTAGTGACACAGTTTATCTCATTGTTACAAAGGACACCCTCCATTCAGCTTGAAAAACTGCCCCAGAGTTACAAAGCTCTAAAAACACTACGAATTTCAATAGACAGTAACTTTTCCTAACATCACAGACCTTCCAGAAAGGACGCACAGTGCCCCTGAAGTCCCCTCCATAAACCTGTCTTTCCAGGTTCCCATCATCAGAATCCACAACACAGACCTGAGCCTAATTCTGTAGTCTCCATGACTGATCCCGAGAATGCCACACAGGCGATACACTAGGAGCCCAGGTACTGTGTGTTGCCGGGTAGGCAGCTGAGCTGAGTCAGTGTCTAAGTGCAGTGAGCTGAGTCCTATCTGTACTGCTGAGGTGGGAGGTCTCTGTTTTGCATATCTGTGAGCAGCAGTGAGCAAGAGCAGGAAAAGTCTAGGCTGGAAATTCTTCTGTGAGTATGAAATGCAAGTGGAAAATTTCCAAGAGTCCTAAAGGCCCCAGGTAATGCCAGTTATCCACAGTGAAAGGGCTGTTGTATCCTGAAGGCAGTGTTCACAGGCTTCAGCAAAAAAGAAAAAGAAAAAGAAAGAAACTAAAGCTGCTGCTGCCCCCAACAAAATAGTGATTCAACCAACTGCTCTGACCGACCACAGACGATAACCTCCAACGTCCAAACGCCTCCTGAAAGCGGAGTAGCAACATGCGATAGCACCACCTTGCTTACATCCATTTGGAACCCTACTGCAGGCCCAGCCTGGTAACTGGTTCACTTTACCCAGAGTTTTTATGATATACCCTGCCTTGCCCCTCTCCCCTCACAGAAGAACCCCCCAAAGCAACTCTCCTGCCAAAGTACCCCAAGACTAGGCAGAGCTCTAAGCCTGGTTGGCAATATGAGCCCATCTCTTTCTCCTGAAAAGAAAACAGGATCATGAAGTGTCCCTTCCTTCCCCAGGAGATGGAAGACCATGGTGCAGAGGCAGACAGCAGCAGGGCCGGCAAGGATGGAAAAATCCAGTGCCCTAATCCCTCTCCTTCCTTTCTTCCCTGAAAGACAGATGACAAGTAACTGGGCAACCTGACAAAGTCCCCCCAAAGCTCCCCCCACCAGACCCTCCTGAGCCCACCCCCTTGCTCCCTCCTCTTCTCACTGCCATTCATGACTCCCACGTGGGCCTCCGCTGCTGAGCTGCCTTCTGAGCTCTGTCAATGGGTGCTCTCCCTGAGGAAGGTGGAGCCCGGATCAAGTGACCCACAGAATCAATTCTCTGAAACCAAGCAGGCTGGATTAAAACAGCGTCACAGGGCACAAAGTGCTGGTTTTCACCTGCCCTTTAGGAAAGGCCAGTCCTGTATGAGAAGGCTCAGGGCTGACACACAGCCCTCCCAGTGACTTAGACAAACAGTGTGGGTCTGGGAAAGAACCGTGAGCAACATGGCTATTTCTGTGGTCTGTTGAAATCCTGGAAGAATGGGTTAGTTGTTTACCAGGAGGCCAGCTCTAACCCTGACTTGGACCTGAGTCACCTCTCCCTGTCCAGTCGTGAGGTTTATGCTTTCCTGAGCTCACATCATAATTCCTGTGAGCAAAAAGAACATGATTACAGACTTCACACATGATCCTCAGGTTTCTGCTGGGCCTTAGCGATGACGCCCACCTGTCCTCACAGCTGTTTCATAAACAATGTAATCAGCAGGCTACAAGCAATGTAGAAGAAGGGGAGTATTTGTTCATTAAATAATTAAACAGCATACAGAAAGAAAGAAATCCAAGCCATCAGTACTGTTCTGCCAGATGGAGGAGGGGCAAATGATCCCTTCTGTAGAAGTATTGGTTTGTTTGTTTGTTTGGTGGGGGAGGGGGGATACATAAGAGTATCCTAGCCCATGGATGTGAAAACACAGTGGGCCCAACACATTCAGAGATTTTAATTCTGCACCTTTAACCAGACCCTGAATCACCTTAGTCTAAACAAGCATTTCCCAAAGTGAAGGTCTGTAGAACAGAACAGGTTTGGAAAATACCACAAACCATAGTCCCCTATAAGGATTCGAATACAAATTGCTTAACATCCTTTAATCCGATACACTTATTTGACTCTGCAATAACACCCATACAAAAAATTAATAAATAAATAAAAATACCCAACCACTTTTTAATATATTATCCTGGAGGAGCTCTGGCAGTGCAGTAGTTACACATCAGGCTGCTAACCTCAAGGTCGGCAGTTCGAAACTACCAGCCATTCCATGGGAGAAAGATGAGGCTTTCTGCTCCCATAAAGATTTACAGCCTCAGAAACCCTGTGAGTCAGAACAGACTCCATGGTACTAACAACAACAACACTTTACAACAACTTCCACTTTTAGTTTTTGTTTCTCAATCTTGCAAAAGCTGCCTTTCCCAAAGCTCATTAAGATTTCTATCTTCATGGCCAAGGTCTCAGCTATGGGTACAAGCAGAGACGGGCAACAGCCCCACTAAGATGGCACAAGTTGACTCAATGAGCAAAGGTCTGGCTGAACTCAAAGGGATGGAAGACCTTCTAGAACAACGACAGCTCTGTCCCTGGAGGTCATGCTTTGCTCAGGACTTCACAATTCCACCTTTAAGTCTAACATATCACTGCTCCTCCTTATGCCCTAGAAGTCTCCTTGGCCAGAGAAGCAGCATCCCAAGCTCAAAACCTTATTTCCTTTTAAATGGGGCTGTTGCTTGTCTCTGCCTGTACCTATAGCTGGGGTCTTTGCCATGAAGACAGAAATGTTAACGAGCTCCAGGAAAGACAGCTTTCTCAAGATTGGGAAGCGAAGGCTAAAAGTGGAAGTTGTTTAAAAGTGTACACCATAGGCTAATAAGGCCCAGGGCCTGTATCTCACTGATAAGCCTGCCAAGGAGACCAGATACATTCACCTGTATCACTTGTGTCCCTTACAAACCCCAAAATTCAGGGAAAACTAGAATCATGTTATATCCCAACAAGAAATATATCAGTGCCCCTTCCCTCCCAAAAAAGGGGTAGCAGGGGTTTGCTATGTACCATGGAGTCGGTTCCGATTCAGAGCGACCCTGTACAGGGTTTCCAAGGCTGTAAATCTTTATGGGAGCAGAAAGCCTCATCTTTCTCCCGCGGAACATCTGGTAGTTTCGAACTGCTAACTGTGAGGTTAGCAGCCCCACTCGTAACCACTACACTACCAGAGCTCCTTGAGGCTTGCCTACAGGTATCTGTTTTTCTTCTTGTTTCTGAAGTGGACATGATTAACAGAGTTGGGCAATGGAGTTTCATCTGCTAAATATTCAGCACTATGACAGACTTTACCTGTCACATTCATCCCCATGCCTGGGGTATGATAGGCATGCTATAATTATTTGTTGAATAGACAAATGCCTAAAATATATGAATGAGTCAAGTTGATGAATGTACCTATGGCAATTTCAAGAGTTGGTAAGAGCACTCAAGCCAGGTACCACACTTTGAATCCTGGCTTATTTGCATAGGCCTTAGGCAAGTTACTAACTTCTTGGTTTCTCAGAATTAATCCCTATAAAATGGGTTGTCTGTCAATTAAACTTTAAGGTTAGTATGTAAAGTGATTAAAATGGTACTTAGCACATAGTATGTGCTTCAGAAGTAGTATCAACATCACTGTGGTCATTGTTGTCATTATCATGATAAAAGGTACAAGAAAAGGAATGAGCATAAAATTTCATCAAGACATTGAATCCTTTCATTTGACATTATTTATTGAGTTCCTTTATGTGCCAGAGCCTCTTGTGAGCATCTCCTGTACCTGGGTACAGGAACAAGGAAAACATTTTTCAGTGTAGCCTCCTCTTGGTAACCATGTTTCTTGGTAACAGTACATGGTCAAGACTCCAACCATGAGTCCATTCTCCTGTGCTCTTATCTTTTGTAACCCAAAAGCCCATCGTGTTCTGCCCTAGATACGTAGCCAATGCCCCGAGGAACAAGGAGGCTCATATACTTGGTGGAAGAACCAGGAAGGCCAATAAGAAACTTTCGGGAAGAAAAGGTAGCTCTCTCCTTGCTTAACCCTAAGGATACAGTTTATCTGCTCATGGCATTTTCAAGATGTGGGAAATGACTTAGTGGTCTTCTGGAGAGTGATTCAGCAACAATAATAATATAAGAAAAACAGGCCTCATCTCCCAAAGAACTCCTTGACCTCTGAGAATCTCTCATCTCTTATCTAGGAGCTAAGTTTGACAGGTAAGAACTGACTCTAGCTAGAGACAGGGTTGACAAAGTCAAAGAGTATCCCAGCAATCTAGCCAGCTAGCACCATTATTCTTAGAGAAGGCAACCCGTACCATCATCTTCAGAGCAAGCCAGGTCCCTCAGAGTTGTAACTAGAGATGCAGCCAGGCCAGGTCAACTATCCCAGACCTGCTGTCAACACTCTGAGAGGTGAGAGTTGACCTGGCTCAATGGTATGGCTACCATTCAACACTGACACTTCATCAGCAGGGGAGGAATTTCTCCTCTGAGGGTTCCAGCTGCAGCCAGCTCCCCTACCCCCCACCCCCCAAGACAGCCAAATGGTGACCATATCTAAGGGGGCAGCCAACAAGAACTCAGGACCATGCTACAGTTCCTCCAGTGCTCCAGCGTTCACACAGCCTTTTTGCTAATTTTCCACCACCAAGTTTCCAGCTACATAGAAGGACCTACAGTTTGGGGAAACGATATTCTTATTAGCAAGACTCTCCTATTCCAGGGCCTCTCAACGCTCACCGGGAAGCCTCTGCCAGTCAAAACAGCCATTAGTAGCTCCAGGGGCAAAGCAGCTACCAGAAGGTGAAGGGCAGAAAGCAGACTACCAGAGCTCAAGGCAGTAGTCCTCTGGTCCAACGTACCAAAGAGGTGAGAATGAAGGCCTCAAACGACCCCAGCGTCTCCTCATCCTGTCCAACCCTTTGCCTCCAGGAAGAAGTCCTCAGTCGTTAGCATCAAGTCAGGTCTCAAACCCTAAAAACTAGCCCAGTCGCTTACATGGCACAAGGTCCCCGGGAGTCCCTTCAGTTTTCTAAACCTGGTGTCTCCAATCCAAGCCTCCTGGGAGCTAGGATGCGGCCGGCTCTTCTGAAACCGCCGGAGTCCAGACAACCGCAGAGGCAAGGGCACGGACACCAGTGAGAGATGAACCCGGCGTTGGTGCAGTCGCCTGTAAAAGCTGGGTAGCCGGACACGGAGGTTCGGACCCCGGGACACTCCCCTCGCCGGCCCGGAGCCAGGGGAACTCGGACTCAATGTCAGCAGCGCAGCATCCCGCGCACTCACCGGGTTCGGAAGACAGGGCCATGCCGTGGGCCTGAAGTGGGTGGCCGAAGGGCTGGAGCGCAGGTGGCGACGCAGGGTAGGGCGCACAGCAAGTGCCTCAACCAGGTTCCTGGGCACTGAGGCCAGACTGGCCGAGCTCCCGGTCCACGCTAGGCAGTAGACCGCAGCTACCCGCTACAGGGGCGGGCACTGGGCGCTCTGAGGGCGTAGCGCTCGATCCGGGGCCCACTCCAGAGGTAGGAAAGAGGGCCGCCTCAGCAGGGAAGAAGACTGCCAGCCGCGCGCCGCCCCAACCCAGGAGAAGAAGAAAGGGGCGCGGGCCGCCACCGCACAGTTCTGCCCTTCCCGCCTCCCGCCAACCAGGCCTGCTCGCCGCTACCTGAAGTGCCCAGGCCGGGCTGCCAACAGGAAACTTGCGAGCGCCAGGAGCTCGGTGGCCGCCTGCCCCTCGGCCGGAAGCCGCTCGCGCCCGCGCCCGCGCCCGCGCCTGCCGCCGCCAAGCCTCCGCTGTGCCCGCGCCGAAGCCCGGGTCGGATGCCAGCCAGGCTCCCCGATCCCGGCCTTCACGGCCACCGCCGAGCTCCGAGTCAGCGCCCCACAGGGTTCGAGATTCCGGGACCGCTCCCCAGCCAGGACTAGCCCACCAGAAGATTTGGGGATGGGAAGGGCGGACGTTGGCCCTCTAACAGGTGACTTACTTTCTGTAGCTAAACCGACCACCGAGCACACCAAGCATAGGTTTTCTCCTAGACGTCCGTCTGGTCACTTCCCAACATGCGCACGCGTGCACGCATAAACACAAACATTCCCTTTCCACCACTCAGCTTCCACACCCGCCCCTCAAAGTCCGGAATGACCTCCTAGTTGCCAAAGCCAATGTGTGCCTTGTATCCTCCCTTACTCACCTCTCTCCTGCGTCTGAGACTGCTGACCACACCTTTCTTCCAAAAGTGCTTGGAGTAGATAGTTTACAGCATTGAATCCAGTTTTCCACATTTTCCAGCGCTTGTATCTTTTCTTGACCTCCAAAACTAAACCAAATCCACAGCCCTTTGTGCAATCCCATATAACACATAAAGTTTCCAAGGCTGTAAATCAGGGGTAGGCTGTAATGTTGTTGTTAAGTGCCATCAAGTCAGTTCCGACTCAAAACAGCCCTGTATAGGGTTTCAGATAAGCGGCTAGTGGGTTTGAACCACCGACCTTGAGGCTCAAACTGACCTTTCAGTCCAGCGCATTATCCTGCAGCACCACATCATTTGCCCCTGCCCTTGCCAAAGCAACCACAGTTCCAGCCAACACGTTGTTGTTAAGTGCGGTCAAGCTGGTTCCGATCCATAGAGACCCTGTATAGGGTTTCCGAGGAGCGACTAGTGAACTTGAACTGCCCACCATGTGGTTCAAGCCGACTTTGCAATCCAACGCATTAACCAACCCACAGAGCCACACCAGAAGTCCAGCCATCACATTAGAGGTGAGTCAATTAAATGTTGGACCAAATATTGCAGAATAATTTTTAAGTTGATAATTTTGTGTGGCCAGCGAATGATCGTATAAAGTTTGGCAGAAAAGTAAATCTTTACAGAAGCTGACTACCTTATCTTTCTTCTGTGGAGCTGCTGGTGGATTTAAACTACTATTTTGGCTAGCAGCCCAGTGCTTTACCTCCTACCCCACCAGGGCTCACCTTAGTTTCAATACTTGATCCTAATGGTTATCACTGATTTTTGAAAAAAGGATGTTTTATTAAGATAATCTTTGCATTTACCATAGCTCCGTCTTTTACTCTCATTTACCAATTTTGCAAGTGTGAAATTCCACTGGAAAACTGTCCTTTGTCCATGAAGCCAATGTTATCAATGATGCTTTCATCAGTTATTCATGCAAAACTTTTTAACAAACATGATTTTTCAAAAAACAAAAAACTGAAACTTCTTTTTGGAAGATTGTAAAATGGTTTTAAATGTGTGCTTCTAAGTTTGGAAGACTGTAGCCATGACATTTCATTTTTGGCATGAAAACCACATGATAATGGAAAGAGTTCCAAATATTAACTTTCAAAATGTTTCTCCCATAGCATACTTCTGAAATATGATTCATTGCTAAATTATCACCTTTTACCAAAAGGACAGTTGTATTTGTATGTGATGTGTGTGTATGTTTTGTTTGTTGGGGGTGGGGGGACGGGAAGGGGACGGGAGACTGAATGTGTGTGCCCAGGTGTTTCCTTCTGCTGTGTAACATAAACCAACATAGCAGAGGTCAGCAAATTTAGAAGCTTTGTCCTTTTATTGTCTTTATATTACACTTTTAAGTTCTTTGTCTTGAGATAATCAGTAAACCTTTGTGTAATCTAAAATGTTTCATGGTCTCATTTCACATCTTATTACAAAGGATAGTAAAGATTCTACTGTATATTGTCTTTTTAAAAATCAAATTAACTGCATTATCGACATTCTGTAGTATTTAATGCATATCAAATTTCAGCTTCTTTACTATGGTAGCGCCTACATGAATGATGTGATTGATGAATTTCACATAGGGTCCCTCTCCACCACCCTTACATCATTTCCAACTTTATATTCCATTCAGGGCAGCTCCATCTTCGTGTGGTTGCACTTACACATAAAAAACATAGCATGTTTTACTAAATAAGTCATTTACTATTGCAAACACATCTTCCCTTTGTTGTCAAGTGCTGTCTAATCGGTTCCAACTCAAAGCAACAGTTTGAACCACTGACCTTATGGTAGGCAGTCCAGTGTTTATCTTACAGTACCACACCAGGACTCTATCTTTCCTTAAGTAGATCACAAAACATAGTTCATTACACTTAAGTGTAATAGAAAGGAATATCAGGAAGCATGATTACAGAACACTTATAAGCCCATCTTCTGCCTATATCTGGCTGGAATACTTACAAGGGGTTCTAGAACTTGCCCAGTTAAATAGGCTTCTTGCGTAGGCTTTATGGTGTATAGGACCTTAGGTGGCATAGTGAGCCCCATCCAGAATCTTCTGAGACAGGACATTCCCACTTGAAAGGACAAGCAGACTAGCCTGGAACAGCTAAGAGGAACAAAAGACAACTTCTTGAAAGAAAGACTAGGAGGAAAAATCAAAAACAAAAATGGCAGTCTGATTGGTTACTATAAGAACAAGCAAGTTATATGCTGGGGAGCCATGAAGGCAGGCAATCAAGTCCCTTCAAGACAAACCCTGCTCCAAGACAAAAATAAATAAAATAAAATAATTAATTTTTTAGAAACTTCATTATGAATTGCGTCCCTGAAAAAGTCATCTAGCAAAGGCGAAACACATGAACAAATTTCATCCAATTATGTAGCAAATCTCCTACAACACATCATTTATTCTAACACCTTTTCTCCAAATCTCCAACAATAATTTCTGTATCTCTTTCAGCAGAATGATTTTTTTATGTGTTGCCATCTTCTTATAATACTCATTCAGTCACTTTTACCACAGCAGATTGTTGTTAGTAAGTGCTGTCAGGTCAGATGGCACAGCTGTTTTCCCCAGTGACTTACTTTTCATAGTTGCTATTAAGTAAGAAACCTCCAGAGAGATTTTTAACATTTTCATTATATTTAGTGAAATTTCAAAAAAGTATATAAGAAATATCCCTGGGGGTGGGGGAGGGGGGCGGCGGGGAATGTTGTAGAGATTGTCTTCAGGCTCTGGTGGCATAGAATTTGCATGTCTTACAAATCATGAGAGCATATTATATAATCATTACCTAGTACCTCAAAATCCAATCAAGAAATACTTGTAGTTATTGTTAGGTGCCATTGAATAGGTACCGACTCATAGAGACCCTATGCACAACAGTACGAAACACTACCCGGTCCTGGGCAAACCTCACAATTGTTGCCACACTTGAGCCCATTGATGCTGCCACTTTGCCAATCCATCTCATTGGGGGGTTTCCTCTTTTTCTTTGACCCTCCACCTTGCCAAACATGATATCCTTCTCCAGTGACTGGTCCCTCCTGACAATATGTCCAAAGTATGAGAGATGAAGTTTGGCCATCCTGGCCTCCAAGGAGCAATCTGGCTGCACTTCTTTCAACACAGATCTGTTTGTTCTTTTGGCAGCCCATGGCACTTTCAGTATTCTCCTCCAATACCATAACTCAAATGCATAAACTCTTCTACGGTCTTCCATATTCACTGTCCAGCATGCATATGAGGTTATTGAAATACCATAGCTTGGGTTAGGTGCACCTTAGTCCTCAAGTTGACATCTTTGCTCTTCAACACCTTAAAAAGATCTTGTGCAGCACATTTGCCTAATGCAATACGTCGTTTGATTTCTTGACAGCTGCTTCCATGAGTGTTGATGGTTGATCCAAGAAGAGTGAAGTCCTTGACAACTTCAATCTTTTCTCCATTGATAAGAATGTTGTTTATTGGTCGAGTGGTGAGGATTTTTGTTTTCTTTACATTGAGATGCAATTCATACCGAAAGCTGTGGTCTTTACTCTTCATCAGTAAGTATTGTAAGTCCTCATCACTTTCAGCAAGCAAAGTTGTATCGTCTGCACATCGCAGGTTATTAATGAGTCTTCCTCCATTTCTGATGCCACGCTTTTCTTCATATAACCCAGCTTCTCAGATTATTTGCTCAGCATACAGATTGAGTAAGTATGGTCAAAGAATACACCCCTGTTGCACACCTTTCTTAATTTTAAACCATTCAGTGTTCCCATGTTCTATTCCAACAACTGCCTCTTAATCTAGGTACAGATTCCTCATGAGCACAATTAAGTGTTCAGGAATACTCATACTTTGCATTGTTGTCCACAGCTTGTCACAAGCCACACAATCGAAAGCCTTTGCATAGTCAATAAAACATAGGTAAACATCTTTCTAGTATTCTCTGCTTTTAGCCAAGATCCATCGGACATCAGCAATGATATCCCTTGTTTCACGGCCTGTTCTGAATCCGGCTTGAACCTCTGGAAGTTCTCTGTCGATATAAGCTTGCAGCCATTCTTATAT